CTGTATATATATCACAAACCCAGAATATATCACCCGACACACACAGAAGCTTAAAGAGGACTGTTATTGCAGAAAATTATTCTCCTGATATATGTTTGTTGCAGTGACATGCAGTGAGGTTGACAGCTGGTGAGGCACTGACTCTTTTACAGTCAGATTTACAAATACAAATTGTCTGTTAACAGACAGTGCGTTATGTTTTATATCTCATATCAGCATTCTTCACACAAACGTGACCCATATTTAATTTGAGGTTAAAATTTATTCCAGTTGAGCTTATTTCTAACTAGAAATAATAAAAGTTTATGGTCTTACCTTTACTTGTACACGAAATCCATTTGCCTGCCTCCCCTGCCTCCACTGACCGCACATCACTGGTTTGTTTGTTTGTTTGTTTTTTTTAATAGCAAAAAAGTAAGTTCCCACAGCGGCGATGACAAAAATACAACCCAGCATGATGTAAGTGTTGGTGTTCTTCTGCTCATGGCTCCGATTTTCCTCATCTTTACCACCTGGCAAATCAAATATACACATCTTAACCTGTGCAGTGAAAACCCTGGATTTTGCAGAATTGACTAACAATGACACACACAGACACACTCATCCACATACATGTGCCAAAAGACTTTTAAGACACTGAAAGTTACTCACCTTCAGCGGAGGATTTTACTTGAACAGGTTTAGATGCTAAAGCCAAACCACAATCTGTAAATATGTCAACAGTGTAATTTTCATTTTTCGTGACATGTGCGATGGTCAGTGACACATAAGTCTGACTGTCCGATTCACAGCTAACGCCGGACAATAGTGTGTGGCTACTGTTGCAACACAGTTGTGTGTTGTTGCAATTCCAATGATACTCCTCAACAATACAGTTTTCGACATTGCAGATTATAGTGCAGTTTAGTGTCACACTGTCTCCGGCTGCAACTTCAACTGTTTCATTGCACTTTACTTTCACTCCTGGATGAGAAAAGAAACAGGAATAATTTATATTATTTCATTTTTTATACTTCACAATGTATTTAGAAAATACGTAATATATTTCCTTATATTTACTTTGGTACAAATACCTTCGTTTAATGAGATACTGCCTACAAATGTAGCAGCACAGAGCAGGCTCATCCACAGGCCCGACATTCTGGATATTCCACTGTCTTTGGAAACTGGAAGAAAGAAAAACACATTAGGACTCGAGGGCGCCTGTATTGTTCTGTGTCAGCCTGGTAGATCTGAACAAGGCTGGTCTAGATTTTTAATCGCTCAGGTAATTCCTCACTACCATGTTGCACTAACACAACCCAGGCCAAAACTACGAAAGCACTGGTGGTCACTGGTTTTTTTATAACCTTGTTCATACAATGAATCACAGGTGTGACCGCTTCTGTGTTCAATGAGGCTATACTTTGTGACCCATGTTTATCTGTCTAACGTGTTTGTTTGTGAGGATACATATTATCTAATGCCAACTTGAAAAAAATAACAATTTAAGATGAGACAATTTTTAATAATTTAACATTTGAGTGATATTACACAGTGTTGTTGTATACTGAGCTGTTACTCTGTTGTATACTGTGTCCATCCTAGAACCAGGTTATGTAACTTCACAGACAATAAAAACTCAAAATGAAAGTAGTGACAAGGTTAACTAAAGGACCTTGCCAAAAGAAAGTCTCCAAGACTGGACTCCTGAGTCTAACCGGTTTCAGACAATAACAGACATCTATTTCAGAGCGTTATGCATGGGTTATAACACAATAATTATTTATGTTGGCTTCATGAAAAGAGCAGACTGTTCACATGTGGCTTGTTTATATCACACATTTTTGTTTTCAGTTCTCACATTTCTTAGGGACCAGCCGTCTTCTCTCCCCACACACTCTTAAGAAGCTTAATGATTAAATGTCATACCAGGACTCATTCATAACAACAACAACAACCCAGTAGTGGAAAGTAATGAATTAAATAATTTTTAAATGTTTGGATGTACACACATGTATACACTTAGACTCCTAACATTTCAGGTGGAAATACTGCCCCACTGCATTCATTAGTAGTAGCAGTAGTTTGTCACAGTAATTCTACTATTAAATGTACTCAGATTAAGATTTTACATACAAAACATATAAAAACATTACACAAGTGATTCCCAGGGATACCTGTAGTCCTTGTACTTGTAAAAAAAAAAAAAAAAATTCTCAAATTTGAGAGTGCAGGAAAATAACTTATGCAAATAGATGTTACTAATGGATTTATGACCCAAATTGTTACAGTATATACAGGTGAAACAAATATATAAATGCATAAATAGTGGATTGTTTGAAATAATATCTACAATTAATCAAAAAACTGCTCAAATAGTTGGCTAAAAGTTGGAGTTGAATAATTAAGTAGAGGTTTTAGTAGTCAAAACTAATGGACATAAACTAGCTAAAAGAAAGTGACAAACTGTTGAAACTATTGACTACAAGTCATGCATGAACAAAAATGAAGTCTCATTTTTGCCACTTCAGCAGGTAACTGCAAACCAAACTGCCCTAAATAGTTAAAGTTCAATTGTATGAAAAATAATGTAATATCTACATTTATGCAGTTGGTCTAGAAACACTCACAATCTGTTGTTCTCAATTTTATATAACAGTATATAAAGCAATTATAGTTGACTCCAACAAGCATTAAGATACTTCTTGCATATTAATGCATCAATAAATTTAATATTGATATTTAGCTTAGATTTAAAATGCAGGACATTTACAGCCCATTGTTGTGCAGCTTTGTTTATATGTTTATTTACTGCTAGAGACGTATCGCTATCAACCAAATCATAAATGAGCCCGACTCATTAAGTGCTTCAAGTCATGAACAACAAATTAATGCACACTTGCCCGCATTTCATACACAGAAAGGGATACTTACAGTTCTTCCTTCCACTGCCAACATGAGGGAATGAGTCCAAACTACGTGTGACAGATTGTAAACAATCGAGTTTTAAAACTCCCCTTGCCCCACCTAGAGTGTTTTATGTGAGAGTAAAAGTGAAACACACGTTAGAACGAATAAGACAACTGAACAGAGGTTCAAAGAGTGAGGGAGGGAATGTTACTTCTAATATTATGGTATTAAAATACTTTCAACTGTGATACTTGGAACTGGACATACTGTGTGCCACAATGAAGCATTATCTGCATTAGTGACAACAAGCACCTACAGTAGCAGTAGGTAACTTCAGGAACTCCCTGTAACACATTTCATTAGAACCTGAACATGACAAACACTTGATGCTGTGAAATAGAAGCAACACAAATTTCAAAAGAAAATAATTAATAAAAAAAATAAATCAGATCTAATCAGTGCTCAGTAAAATTCAGTTTTTAATTCAAGTTGTTTGGAATATCAGTTGCAGCAGGGCTCTGATATTTGAGCTTTCCATTATTTTTTAACTGGAGAGGTTTAGACATTAACTCTGCAGGAGGCCAGGTGGATATGGGAACAAAACCATGAACAGAAACTAAAACAAGACAACACCTCATTTATCAAAATACACTGCTCAAAAAGATTAAGGGGACATTTAATCATCACTGTATAACAACAAGTCAGTTAAATGAACCATCAATCTGTCTATTTAGGAAGCACAAGTGATTGTGAATCAGTTTCACCTGTTTCATGCAAATGAAAGTGACGACAGGTGCAATGGAGAGGCATGTCTTTGGAGGGCAGCACAGACCTCCATGTCATAGCCAACAGTACCCTGGCTGCTGTAAGGTACCGGGATGAAATCCTCAAGAGCGACTGTCAGACCTTATGCTGGTGCAGTGGGCCCTGGGTTCCTTCTGGTGCAGGACAATGCCTGGCCCCATGTGCCCCGAATGTGTAGGCAGTTCCTGGATGATTAAGGCAATGATGCCATTGACTGGCCCTCACATTCCCCTGACCTACTGTAAATCCAATTGAGAACCTATGGGACATTATGTATCGGTGCATCTGACGCCACCAAGTACCACCACAGACTGTGCAGGAGCTCACCGAGATCCCCCAGGACACCATCCGCCGCCTCATCAGGAGCATGCCCGGATGCTGACGGGAGTGCACACAGGCACAGAGGGGCCACACACACTTCTGACTCACATTATGAGTTGCTGTGATGAAGTTCATGGAACCTGGATGAGCCTGTCATTTCAATGTTTCACTTTGATTTTCAGTGTGATCATGAACATGGGCTGTAATGTCATTTTGTTCTGAACAAATTATATAATGTACATTAGTAAAGGTTTGCAATTTCAAAAATTTGTTAATCAAGATTCAATGTATGATGTTCCTTACATTTTTTTGAGCAGCGTAGTTTTTGGGATTCACATATGACATGTTTGTTTGATCTTGTAAAACAAAGAACAAAAACAAATATGTTAATCGAAAATACTAGTTTATGAAATAGGAACGAAGTTAAAAGAATGACTCTAGTCAGTGGGTCAGGAGACCATTCACTGGGCTGGTAGTTACACAGAGGCAAACACTCCTTGTGAGATTGTTTTTAAAAGATTTTTGATTTCTCAGACCATACAGCAGCTTTACTTTCCATTCACTGGGACTGCTGAGACCAGAACATCACACTATTGCATAGTTATCAGTGTGTTTGGGAACACACCGTCTGCACTGAGGAACAGCTGAACTTCAACACAAAGGAAAGCATCATGGTTTCTACTGGACAGTTTGGATGTGGACTCTTCAAATGTATATACAGTATCCACAAGTTTACTTCATGAGCTCCAGTTGCACTAAAACCTCTTACATGTTTTCTAAGTGGCTTATTACTCTGTTAAATGACAGAAACAGTTCACACTTGCTACAGATTCAGATTTCTCACAACAGCAGGCGACTTTATATCCAATTTTTTTTGTTAGCCATTATCTGAGCAGCTTAGTGACTGCTTCACTCTGTATAAAATGTCAGGTTTTCTGGACTCTTTACCCTTATTTCTCCTCAAACTCAGGTTTGACACAGGGGATACTACATTTATTAAATACAGACATCACCCTCATGTGGCCAAAGGAAGAACCGCTCACTGGTCCGTAATGTGGCACTGCACACAGTACCAGAACGAGGTGATGGCCCAAGCAGAATCAGAACCAACCCAAGGAAGTCCTCATTCAATTTCCATTGTCTATACAGTGGTTCTCCTCACCACTGCATGTGTGGGGGCTGTGTGTGGATCGGACTCTGGTTCCTGTACTGGTTGTGCAGCAGCGTACTGGCCTGTGCGGTGTCCTGGCCCTGCAGCCAGTCTTGATAGAGGGTGTGCAGGGTGGGGTTGAACTCCGGGAGACGGACTGGCAG